AAAAGATGGTTATCTATTCAAGAACGTAAGTTGTCCCTGCTTTTTTAGGTTAAAAAGGGGGAGAGAAAATGCCTCGAGCCAATGTTCAAATACAAAGCGCTACGACGCTGAAGTAACCAATGCCATACTCCCAGGAAAAGCGCTAACGACGTTAAGCAAGAGGGTAACTGTACCCGAAACAAACACAGGTGGGTAGGTAGAGAATACCTAGGGGCGCGAGACAACTCTCTCTAAGGAACTCGGCAAAATAGCCCCGTAACTTCGGGAAAAGAGGTGCCTCCTCACAAAGGGGGTCGCAATGACCAGGCCCGGGCGATTGTTTACCAAAAACACAGTTCCCCGCAAAGTCGTAAGACCATGAATGGGGGCAGGCGCCTGCCCATTGCCTGAAGGTCAAGGAAGTTGGTGATCTGATATCAGGGGAGCCGGAATCCTAAGTCTTTTTCCATACATTCAGCTCGAGAGAGTGAATGGACTAAAGAGTAAGTTGTTCTTATTTTCTTGCTTGTTGGTGTTCGAGAGAAATCCACTTGATTTGGGGTAAATTGTTTGAGAGAAAGTTAATCCCCACTAAAGTCTAGCTTATTCACTGATTTAGAGCTATTTACTAACAATTGCAATTACCCATTTGTCTATATTAGCCTATAATTTAATCACATCCCAAGAACTTGTTTCAATGTTTGTTAATTAGTGTTATTTGTTGCTGGTGTAGTTGATAATTACAATCGCAAAACCCCGTTGTTATTTGACATTCGTATCACCCCCTAATTTGAATTATGTTTCCTTTCGATAATGTTTATTCCTATGATTGACTTGAGCATATTCATACTTTTCTGTTGAATCTTAAGCATGTACCACTCCCTGTGGGATTCGACCCCAACTCATTTAGTTGGGTTATATAGTTACTAACGATCGTTGACTCTTACAACTGGATTAAGTGAATTTGATTGCGTTATTCAATCAAAATGGCGCCGCTCCCGTGGAGTAGTGTTGGTTAAGATTCTTTAGTTAAGTTGAATTTTGTTCTTGTTAGTTATAGTTGAACTTACTTACTTTTAGTATTGGTTTGCTTGTTTTTGTTTTAAAATAGGAAGTATGAGTGTGAACGGAAGCAATGGTAGCCAAGTAGGCCACCAAGATGACATCAAAAACCTCAACGATGTCAATGAGCCTAATGCTAATGACCCCCATCTAATGTGTGGAATTGGTGTCATTCGCTTGCCTCCGGCGGAAGTGAACGTTGTAATCCATATTAGAAGTACCATGTTGAATTCTTGCAATTGAACGGGTTGTTCGATGGTTTGGCTCATGAGGATCCCCATAAGAATATTAGAAACTTTGTGGATGTTTGCGGGTCGTTCTCCTTCAAGAACATATCTCAAGAGTCGGTCTGGTTGAGGTTGTTCCCGTTTTCTCCAATGAGGTAAGCGTGTAAGTGGCTGGCTGAATTGTCACGAGAATCAACCACTTCATGGGAAGAGCTTGTCACCGCATTTCAAGTGTGATTTTTCCATCCTTCGAAGATGATGACTCTTTAGGATAGCATTTAGAGCTTTAAGTGTTTGGAAGGTGAGTCAATTCATGAGACTTGGCTGTGATTCAACAAGTTGGTGTTGCAATGCCCAGCTCATGGTTTTCCCAACAATGTTTTGCTGAAATATTTTTACCGAAGTCTTGATTCGGTGAACAAGGGGGTAGCTGACGAAGTTTCACCGGGAGATTTGATGCAACATCCTTATGTTATAGCCACCCTTGAAAGAGTGCGTAATAGCACATTGATCAAGCGTTCTTGCGCCGAAGATGAACGGGGCCAAGCGGTGTACCGAAGCTGTGGAATGTAAAAATACATCGATAGGGGAGCGTTCCGTCATAGAGAGAACCCTCCACGCAAGCGGTGGTGGACGAAGCGGAAGCGAGAATGTCGGCATGAATAACGCAAACATTGGTTAGAATCCAATGCCGTAAAAACCTAAGGGTTCCTCCAGAAGGTTCGTCCACGGAGGGTGAGTCAGGGCCTAAGATCAGGTCAAATGGCATAGTCGATGGACAACAGGTGAATATTCTTGTACTACCCCTTGTTAGCCCCGAGCGACGGAAGAGGCTAGGTTAGTCGAAAGATGGTTATCGGTTCAAGAACGTAAGGTGTCCCTGCTTTTTCAAGGTAAGAAGGGGTAGAGAAAATGCCTTGAGCCAATCTTCGAATACCAGGCGCTACGGCGCTGAAGTAACCCATGCCATACTCCCAGGAAAAGCTTGAACGATGTTAAGCAAGAGGGTACCTATACTCGAAACCAACACAGGTAGGTAGGAAGAGAATACCTAGGGGCGCGAGACAACAATCTCTAAGGAACTCGGCAAAATAGCCCCGTAACTTCGGGAGAAGGGGTCGCTCCTCACAAAGGGGGTCGCAGTGACCAGGCCCGGGTGACTGTTTACCACAAATACAGGTCTCCGCAAAGTTGTAAGACCATGTATGAGGGCTGACACCTGCCTATTGCTGGAAGGTCAAGGAAGTTGGTGACTTGATATCAGGGGAGCCGGAATCCTAAGTCCATTTCAACACATTCAACTCGAGAGACTAAATGGACTAAAAAGTAGGTTGTTCTTATTTTCTCACTTGTTGGTGTTCGGGAGAAATCAACTTGATTTGGGGTAAATTGTTCTAGAGAAAGTTTATCCCCAGTAAAGTCTATCTTATTCACTGATTTACAGCTATTTACTAACAATTGCAATTACCCATTTGTCTATATTAGCCTATAATCTAATCATATCCGAAGAACCTGTCTCAATATTTGTGAATTCGTGTTATTTGTTGCTGCTGTAGTTGATAATTACAATCGCAAAACCCCGTTGTTATTTGACATTCGTGTCACCCCTAATTTGAATTATGTTTTCTTTCGATAATGTTTATTCCTATGATTGACTTGAGCATATTCATACTTTTCTATTGAATCTTAAGCACGTACCACTCCTTGTGGGATTCGACCCCAACTCATTTAGTTGGGTTATATAGTTACTAACGACCGTTGACTCTTAGAACTGGATTAAGTGAATTTGATAGTGTTATTCAATCAAAATGGCGTCGCTGCCGTGGAGTGGTGTTGGTTAAGATTCTTTAGTTAAGTTGAATTTTGTTCTTGTTAGTTATAGTTGAACTTACTTACTTTTAGTTTTGGTTTGCTTGTTTTTATTTGAAAATAGGAAGTATGAGTGTGAACGGAAGCAATGGTAGCCAAGTAGGTCACCAAGATGACATCAAAAACCTCAACGATGTCAATGAGCCTAATGCTAATGACCCCCATCTAATGTGTGGAATTGGTGTCATTCGCTTGCCTCCGGCGGAAGGGTACGTTGTATTCCATATTAGAAGTACCATGTTGCAGCTCTTGCAATGAAGGGGTTGTTCGGTGTTTTGGCTAATGAGGATCCCCCATAAGCATATTATAAACTCTGTGGATGTTTGTGGGTCGTTCTCTTTCAAGAACATATCTCTAGAGTCGGTCTGGTTAAGGTTGTTCCCGTTTTCTCTAATGAGGGAAGCGTGTAAGTGGCTGGCTGAATTGCCACGAGAATCAATCACTTCATGGGAAGAGCTTGTCACCGCATTTCAAGTGTGATTTTTCCATCCTTCGAAGATGATGACTCTTTGGGACAGCATTTAGAGCTTTAAGTGTTTGGAAGGTGAGTCAATTGATGAGACTTGGCTTCGATTCAACAAGTTGGTGCTGCAATGCCCAACTCATGGTTTTCCCGACAACGTTTCGCTGAAATATTTTTACCGAAGTCTTGATTCGGTGAACAGGGGGGTAGCTAACCAACTTTCGCCAGGAGGTTTGATGCAACAACCTTATGTTATTGCAACCCAGCTTTTGGATGGTATGACCACAATTAATTGTGCTTGGTACACTCGAGAAGATCAGGTCTCCTCTCTCACGTTTAAATTGACCAAGGAGCATCTAGAGAAAGACCAAGAGAGGGGCCAGAACATTGCCAAGATCATGACACAACTTGACATTTTGTCCAAAAATGTCATGGGAGCTGGTGCTCGAAGCATCAATGTTGTGGGTGTCGGGTGTGCTAATCCTGATGAGGCCAAGTTTAAGGCTTTGTACAATCAAGAGGTGAATTTCTAATCAAACCAAGGTGGTGGTTCTCGTTCAAACTACCCGAGGCAGGGTGGTAACCAAGGTTGGAACAGGGATGAAAGTTGGAAGGATCGTGATAGAGAGTGGAGGGATCGTAATGCCACTTGGAAAGAGAGAAACGGGGAGAAGGATAGATATGTTCCTCCCATGAGCGCCAAAAGTCAAAGGATTCTGAGGGAGGTCGGTCGGAGGATATGCTTTCTCATATCCTCAACAAAGTTGAGGGGTCAAACAAGATTTTGAAAGAAATGAAGGAAGATGTGTCGACCCTTAGCTAGACGGTTACCTCTCATTCCGTCTCGATCAAGTAGTTGGAGACCCAAATGGGTCATATCTCCTCTCATCTAAACCCGAGAAATCAAGGGGGCTTGCCTAGTGATACTATGGACAACCCCAAGAATAAGGTTTGAGGGTGGACTTGCATCGTGTCATGACGTTAACTAAGGCGCTGCTTGGGAAACAACCCAAGTTTTATTTTCTTTATTTTTGAGTTTGAAATAATGGTGTGTTGATTGTGCGGGTCAAAGTGTAGAAGGTGTTTGAAAAGTGCAGGTTGACGACCTAAAAGACCAGTCGGCGACTCGCTGAAGATGTCGGCGAGCCCAACTTGGACCGCCATTGGACTCAAGACATTTTGAAATTGGAGTCGGTAAAACTCGGCGATCCCAGGAGCTGATTAGCGGATCACCAACCAGGTCGGCGATCAGGATTTAGTCCACCGTTTGGACCTTCACATTAACTAGAGGTCCTGTAAAACTCGGCGAGGTAAGTTCCCACTCGGCTAGCAAAACTTATGTCCCTGAATGGGCGAGAACTGGACAGTTTTTAAAGGCCAAAGGTTTAAATTTTCAAACT